TGCTTCTGTACAGCAGATGCTGTGCATTAATTGGCCTGCGTAGAAGTGACCCAGGGTTCCTTGCAGCGGGCCCAATTTTAGGCAGAGGGTTTAAATAGCTTATTTATTATTTTGTATAATCTGGCGTACATTGTGTGCTCCTGCACGTGTCGTATTTCATGGTCTGCAGTTTCTAATGTCATGTGGGTTTCAAAACCTGTGTTTCTCTGGTAATGTACTAGCAGCAGGTAAGCTCAAAATACCATCCATCAGGAGCTAATTTTTTATCCAGACACTGCAATGACTGATGAACCTGTCTTTTGTGTGAATGTTTAGCACAGTGGAAAGCCATATGCCACTGGCACCGCTTCCTCCGCGTTCCTTACAGTTGCTGGAGAGTGGGCTTCCTGGGGGGCGGGGGGACTCGATGCTGTGTACGTCCCCTGGCCTCCATTTCAACGATAACGCATTTAAAACAGCCCTGGGCTTGGGCAACAAAAAGAGGATGAGGCTGTCTTAAAGGAGACCTGACTCCCTCGTCATTTTCTTTATCAGAAATACAACTGCACACTCTTAATAGGGAACCTTGTTTTGTTACTCCCCGTCTGTTCCAAACAGACCTCAGCCCATTAGAAGGGCCTCCCTTGTGTGGGAGACCACAGCTGTTACTGTAAATCTCATCCACTCACTGTATCACCCCCATTTTGTGGCTCTGAAGGATGAAATTGAGAAATGGAATACTGTGCAGTCATCCCTTACATCTCCAATTTTAGGCCTTTGCCATCATTTTCATGCTTTTATTCCAAATCAAATGACATTAGTGAGCTACACCACCTTCTGATGGATATCTGGTATTGAGCACCGCTTTCAAGTCTGTGCTTGTGGGGGCTTCCTTTTATGTTTGGTGGTCTTTTTTCCCCCTTTCTCTTCTCTTTTTCTTCCTGCACTTTCTTTGAGCGTTCTTAGTGGTCATGGCAGTTTGCAGTGTGAATGATACGCGTTGCCAAATGTGTCCCCGTCTTAGCATGTTTTCTGAGAAGGGGGCATGTGCGGGAGAAGGTTCTCTGTCTTTTAATCTTTGTGGAAGGAGTGAAGAGAACTTGGTAGAAGGATATTGGGGGCTTTAATCAGAAATAAGAAGTGGTTTAAATCATTAGCACAACAAAGCATACTATAAGCTTGAGGATAAAAGTCTCTGGGGAAAGAGTCCTCTGAAAATAAATGGAACTTGAGAGATTTCCATATCATTTATAACTTCCCTTAATTACCCTTGGAAGACTTGCCAGTAAAACTGGAAAATTGGCAGCCTATATCCATTAGAGTCATTTTGCCGACCATGGCAAGCAGCTGGCTTTACGGGATTTGATTCCCATCACTCACAACTCATCATCAGCTGGAGGTGTCTGCAGCTCTTCAGCACAGAGCAAGGCTGGCGACACTCGGGCCCCCGCGACAGGCGAAAATCTGCTGAGTAAATGGGCCGAGGTTTCTCTCAAGCCTCGTTTGGGGCAAGGCCGACTCCCGCTTAATGAGTGCCGCTCTGATAATCGGATGCGAATGTGAACCTTGACCTCGTGTCAAAGGAGAGGACGCAGTAAGCTGGATGAAAGATACAGGCTCGAGGCCTCCAAACTTTACACCAATTAGACAGGGAGTGGGGAAATACATCAGGCCCACTAGGTTCATCAAAAAGACTTGCGAGGCTTGTGACCATTTTGTAAGCCCAACACTGGAGACATCCTGTCACAATCATTAAGTCTTGATCAGATGATTCACAAAACTGTTGGAGAAGTGTGCGCACACATGCTGCAGGAACGGGCCCCGCACCCGGGGGCGTCGGAGAGAGACAGCACGTTGGAGGGCCCTCTCTGTGCACCCAGTTACTGCCTGGCTTCCCAGGCACCCCGGGCCATCCGGAAGGTGTTGCTTCCATTGGGCCCACTGCCCAGCTCCCTGGTGTGCGCTGCGTGGACCCTGCGGTGTGCGGCACATTCTGCAAGAGCCAGCGCGGCTGGGAGCAGGGCTCCAAAGCCCTAGGGTGAGAGCCCCTGCTCCCAGGAGCCCAGTGAGAGCATTTTGCTATTGCTGGAAGGAGCCCAGCTCGATGCTCACCCATCCCTGGAGCACACCTCGAGTGCCAGCCTCTTCCCACAGACTGGGGCAGGTGTAGTTTGTGTTTCCATTGCAGTATTCTTTGACATTTGGTTTGTACCATATTTGGTTCTCCAGCTCGATTTTTTCCAAAGGATGAAACAAGTTGAAATTCAATTAAGTTCACGTGTGTGTGTGTGTGTGTGTGTGTGTGTGTGTGTGTGTGTGTGTGTTGGGGTAGAACATGATTCTGTTGAACAAGATGTATCTCACTCTTTTGTAGGGCATCAAGGAAGTTTTTAAGCACCATCTCTTAGGGATGAATTAGTGAAAATGGTCTCCAAAACAGATGGTGCAAAGTTAATAGAGAAGTTTGTTACTTAGTTTTTCATTTACAGCTAAATAATCTAGGCCGGGCACAGTGGCTCACATCTGTAACCCCAGCACTTTCGGAGGCCAACGTGGACGGATCACTTGAGGTCAGGAGTTTGAGACCAGCCTGGCCAAAGTGGTGATACCCTGTCTGTACTAAAAATACAAAAATTAGCTGGGTGTGGTGGTGCACGCCTATAATTCCAGCTACTCAGGAGGCTGAGGCAGGAGAATCGCTTGAACCTGGGAGGTGGAGGTTGCAGTGAGCTGAGATCGTGCCACTGCACTCCAGCCTGGGCGACAGACCGAGATTCTCTAAAACAGATGATAGATTAGATAGAGCTAAATAATCTAAGTAGACTAGTAGGCACCGTGAGAGGAGCTAGGGAGGGAAACCGGAGTGAAAGGTGGATGGAGCGGGGAGGATCTAATTCTATGATTCGGTGCTGTGCTTGGATGGGGCAGAAGGTGGGATCGCTTCAGTGGGGACACGCTTTCTCTAAAGTTCTTTGAATTGAATTGCCGGACTCTCACAATCAGAGGGAAGGACTGTTTGAATTTCAGGCCTCCCCGCTTTTCCTGATTGTCTCAGGCTAAATCCGAGGTTTTATTCTGATGAACAATTGGGGACCCAGCACTTGGGGTTACCTGTGCGTTACCTCTTTGCAAACTGCCCACATTAGAAGCACAGAGGCAGTCAGAAAGATGGTCAGTGGCAGCCACAGCAGAGCCCCTTAAGCTCCTGTCCACCACCCGCTTGCTCCCAGGCCCTGGCAGAGCCCAGAGTAGAGCTGTAACGGGGTCAGATTGGCCTTTGCCCCTGGCGTGACCTTTGGAAATCCCCAGGCCGCATTTCTTCATATTTGCAGTTTAGTTGCTAACTCGCTCACTTGAAGATCCTGTAAAACAGAAGCAGGAGCTGTCTGCCTGTCTGGCCCGCAGATTCTGAGCAATGGGATGGGAGGAGACAAGTGGCAGAAGGGCACACCTGCTGGCAGAGAGGGCAGGGGCTGTGCCACCCATGTGAAGCCAGTGTGCATGGCGGGGGGACAGGGCTCTGGCCAGTCCTGGGCCCTCAGATGCCTGCAGAGGAAGGGCTGGGGGGGTGTGTGGGAGGCCGGCATGCAGTCCCCAGGGAGCTCCTCCACCTGGAGAGAGCACGGTGCCCAGAGCGGGAGGGTGGATTCCTCATTTTTGGATGGCATTTCTACTATGTTCTGTTGAGTCTCGGATCCATTTCCCAGAGAGCCCCCAGTCCTGTTGCCTGAGTGCTCAGTCCTGGGTCAGAGTCGATCGCAGTGAGTCCAGCTTCTAAGAGGACACAGCCAAGCTTCCAGGGTCCCCTGTGTGGAGCTGGCTGGCAGGTGCGCTGCAGTGAACCGGACTTGATCCTGGCTTCCCTGGTCTCTGCCTGCCTTTGAAGAGAGAAAAAAGGCTCTAAAATGCCGACTGGAGGGAGCGACTGCATTGTCTCTGCGCCGCCCCTCCTGTGCCCTGCAAACAGCCTTCGAGGCCGACTCTTTGCTCTCCCTGGAATGCAGATGCCAGGTGAAAATGAATCAAAAAGGGCAGCGCGGGCAGTGCTTCCAGGCCCAGCTCCTCAGCGCGGTGTCTCCTCCATGCCAGCGCCGAAGCCTTGGCATCGTCTCTCTTCCTATATTTCTGTGCCAGGAAAAAGCAGCCCAGCACCTGAACAGCAGAGGAAAAGAGTACATCGGGCTCGGGCGCTCCAGAGTGCCAGCAGGACAGCTTGTGCCATACGGGGGGCCTAGAGGGGGACTTGGAGATCATCTGGGGATTTCAGGAAAGAACATTCTCTAGGCGCTTCTGCGGCATTGGACGAATACGGCCACAGTGGTGTGAAGGGCCAGGAGCCCCATGCCAGGACACCTACCCATCCCACATAGCCATTGCCCTAGGAACTTGGACTTGCCCGTTTCAAAGACTGGGAGGCCCTTTTTCACAAAAGCAGAAGAAAAACCTGGCCGGCTCAGGATGCTGACCCATCTAGGCAGAGCGGAGTGAGCGCACAGCATGGTGTTCAGCTGCAGCTAACTCCTGCAGGGAAGCCTCGGGCTTAACCCCAGTGGGCTTACACCCAGCTCAGCCTGGCTTCCCCGCAGAATGAAAGGCAAGCTCTGAACGCAGTCTGAGCAAGGGCCCGTGGGCGCTCCCAGTCTCCTAGCGTGGAGAGCGTATAGCTCTGGAAGTCATTCCCGTGTCGAGAGGGGCTTTCTGGAAGCTGCCTTGTGCCTCGTTGTGGGTACTCGTGGGTACCCGCTGTGTCTTGCAGAGGATGGGACCAGTGGTCCTCATGGCGCCAGGCCTGAGCTGTTCCCAGCTCCCCGGGACTGTAGACAGAAATGTGTGTATTTGGTGGGGCGCTTTTTTTTTTTTTTTGGGTAACAGCTATACTGAGATGTTAAAATGTACAATTCAGTGGTTTCAGTCAATTCAGACTTCTGTAGCTGTCACCACAATCAATTTTGGAACACTTTTTATCTCGAAAGAAACCCTGTACCCTTCAGCAGTGACTCCCCTTCCCTCTTCAACCCCAGGCAACCTTGAGTCTGTCTGTAGAGATTTGCCTATTCTGGACATTTCAGGCAAGTAGAAAACATTCCCATTTCCCAGCAGCTCTGTTAGTGGCAGAGCCAGACTCAGAGATCCCCAGGGTAGGCCCCACAGCCAGGGCCCCCAGTTCTCCAGGGCCAGGGATTTTTTTTCCAACAAGGACTTTATGAGAGAGAGAATGGTGTTTCTTTACTGTTCCTAAAGATGAGCTCGGAATAGGAAACTAATTAGAGATTGTTGCTGCTGTTCATAGGCACATATTTTGGGGCATTTGACAAAGAATTTCTTAATGGCTTCATTCCTAAGCGTTATTGCAAAATTAGAATGCTTTTAAAACTTTTGCCCTTTTTAAAATTTGTTTCCAGGTAGCAGAAGGTCAAGAAATTTGTGTGATTGAAGCCATGAAAATGCAGAATAGTATGACAGCTGGGAAAACTGGCACGGTAAGTCCCCAAGTCCCCATCAGCCCAGGCTGGCCTTGTGATGGAGGAACACCCACCTTTGAATCGTGGGTGGTTGGGCTGGAAAGGGCCACAGAGGCACCCTCTCCCTCTCGCTCCTACAGAGGACATTAGGATTGGGAGCTTTTGCCTTTCTGCCCTGATGCATCCCTGCCTCGTGGAGAGCGTGCCTTCCAAAAAACTCTGTGCATTATGTTCAGGTAGTCAGAGAACAATTGTTCTTCACCTTAATGTCTTTCAAATTAAGGGGTCTTTAATTTTTAATGTTTACATCTGTCTTGGAGGCAGTTAGTTATCTGAGACTTAGGTGACACAGCAGGAAACGGTTTTACAGATTGCAAAAATTAATGTAACTCTTCAAGACAATTTCTCTACAAAGAGAACAATTCAGTTGCAGATCAAGAGGAGCCGAAACCCCATGTACATGTGGGACTTAATTATTTAGGGAGAAAAAAAGAATATCTATTAGTACTGAAATTCATTAATAGTGAAACTCAAGTGTATTTTTTTTTCTTGAAGAAAACAGAAGTCCTTTTAAGCAATAACTTCATTATTCTTCCTGTGACTAAAAAGACTAAAAAGATGCCGTTAGTGCGTAAAGGGTCCCTTTCTGAGGGCTGTTCTGGTTTGGAAGTGTCTGCACGGTGAAGCGTGATCGGAAGCGCAAGGCTGGCCGTGTTTTGCATGTGGCCGTGCCTTGGGGACATCAGGTGCAAAGAGAGATCCATCAGTTCATAACCAGGTTTGCATCAGAGAGAGACACAACCTCTGTCTCATGGTCTGTCACTGCAGAAGGCAATGAAACGGATTCTCAGAGAAGGGGCAGCGGGGATGTCATGCCTGGTCCCGGCTGGGAGAACAGAGGCCCAGGTGGATGCCAGGGGCTCCTGAGCCCAGCCAGCCAGTCTGGAGGGGTGTGGACGGCTGCCCCGTGTTGGTGGGGCATGGAGAGTAGAATGGCATGATTTGGTATTTTAAGGAATTCTTTCTAAATTACTTGTTTTTAAAAGTGAACAAGAAAATGTTGGTTTCTGTTCGTATAAAAATTTGTATCCGTTCTTTGGGATTTAACATTTGTGCTGCCCTAGCGTCATGACATCCATTGTGATGAGAACTTGGCCTAGTTGTGGGGGACCGAGAACGTGTGTCCGCCGCATGCCAAGGGCCCTGTGCTGCGGGTCTGAGGTGCTAATGCAGAAATGAACTTGGCCTCAGTTCCCTGAAGGGGTGTGGTCCATGCGTTAGTGGGTTTCCTGTCCTCGTGGCCTGGGTCTCCCTCGGCCCTCCTGCTCGGAGCCGCCTTGTGCATTGTGTTCACCTCTCTCCATCCCCAGGCCTCTCAGTTCCAATCCAGCCAGGAAGAGCAGAAGTGGCCCGAAGCCCCTGTGCAAAGTAGCAGGCCCTGGGTCCTACCTGCGAGGCCACTTTTCCTCCCAGAGAAAAAGTCCACAAAGGAAACAGATTCTCTACTCCGGTCGTCGCAGCATCACTAACGCTGCGTCCTCTAGTAGGGCTGCTAAATGGAGGCAGGAGCATCGTGGAACGCAGCCTCTTCAGTCCAAGTAGCGTCTGCAGTGGCCGATTAGTTCTAGCCCATTGTTCATTTTCAGGCCCAAGCAAGAGCCTCCAAGAAGTCAAATGACTGTCTCTTCCCCACCTTAACCCCCTCCTTGCTAATTTTAAGTCGGAACCCAAATTTGGGAAAGCAAAACTTGATAAAGATTGACTGAAACCGGTAGGACAAAAAGGCACAGTTCCACACACCCATGGTGCCGGAAAGGACGACCGCACAGCCCCACGTGCCAAGGACTCCATTTCCCTTCAGAAGGAAGGTGCCGCCCAGGCTAGGGAGGTCCTCCTCTTACTCAGCGGCTGATCTGACTGTCGTGTGTGTTGTTCCTTTTTTTCTTTTACACTAAATGTTCCATTAATTCTCAGAGAACATTTCCACAACCTGAAACCATAGAGAGGGAGGCTAGGGGTTAGAACTCACCAGGCAGTGAAGAGCCCGCCTAGACCTGAGGGTGCCCAGCGCGAGGAGCCAGAGTGCACAAGTGCCCCGGAGAGCAGCCCTCAGACCAGCCACTGTGAGGGTGCCGAGGACAGAGGAGACGGGAGAGGGAGGGGTGAGCCACAGCCACCATGGCGCCCCCCTGTTCACCAGGGTCCCTTAGCTGGGCTCTGGTGGGGTGGCGTGTGCCTGTGCTGCTGGGCCTGCAGGACTGTGCATTTCTAGAAGTGGATTAGGAGCCTGCTGCCTCCTGGTTCTGGTTACTAATTCTTACTCTCCCCTCCCCCTGCATTTTTTAAAATTCAAGGTGAAATCTGTGCACTGTCAAGCTGGAGACACAGTTGGAGAAGGGGATCTGCTCGTGGAGCTGGAATGAAGGATTTATAACCTTTCAGTCATCACCCAATTTAATTAGCCATTTGTGTGATGCTTTCACACACAATTGATTCAAGCATTTTACAGGAACACCCCTGTGCAGCTACGTTTACGTCGTCATTTATTCCAGAGTCAAGACCAATATCTGCCAAAAAAATCACCAATGGAAATTTTCAGATATAAATACTTGTACATATGATTTGTACTTCTGTGAGATTTCCTAGTATCAAAATTAAATCAATCAAACTGAGCATTTGTCTAAATATTAGTTTGCCCTTTCTTTGAAGACAGTGTACACATAGGCGACAGCCTCTGCCAGTAGACTACCAGCATTTCTTTGTGATCCTTTTAAAAGATATGTCAGTTATTTGCCTTGCTTTATTAAATTAGCACTTGCCATTTTTTCATGTGATTGCCTTACTTCTGGAAGTGAGGCCCTCACTCCTGGTGCTGATTTTCCTAACTTCCTAAGGATGGGAGACTGCAAATGCAGATTTTGGCAATCCCTTTCCTGCTGTGTGTCTATGTGGGTGTAGTGTTGATGGCTGACCGCCTGGAGGTCACCTTCCTGGAGGTCACCTTGAAGCTTCCATGTTGGCTGGGGGTGCTGTCTGCACTACTTTGAGGATGAGCGCGCTGCCTGGTCCCTTCCCTGTTGCACAAGCCAGGGCAGTCACAGGAAGCTTGGGCTGCGTCACCCACCCCGTCAAGCACAGGGCTGCCACGAACTCATCAGCTGAGACCCCTCCTAGCCTTTTTGTGTTTTTTGTGAAGCAAGTTTCCAATTAAGCAAAAGAAGCTAAAAATAATGATCATGTTTTTGTGCCAGATGCAGTTAGCAATCACAGTCTACCATTAAGTTGAAGAGTAAGTGAGCTCTCCCAACAGAGAACGAGGTGACTAAGGATCACAGCAGCTGCATTTTCATTTGGTTCTGAAATTCTTGGAATACATTTCAGACTTTGCTGGGAAGCAGAAGCAAAGAGCCGTGCATCGAGTTGAATCGATGCTGACAATTATTATCAGATGGAGGTGGGTAGTAATTGGTACTTCGTGCCTTGCTAAAATTATTTTAAGTGCTGTTTGTATTTGGAAGCTAAGCTTCTGTCAGGCCTAAAGAACAAATTACTAATGCGTTGGCTCTTCTCTGAAAGGACCACCCCCAAATGCTCTCCCTTCAGGGGGCAGGGACCGGGCCTGGCTGCTGAGATCTGGGCTGAGATAAACTTGCACTTGAAGTCTGGACGCTCAGCTGTGTCTACCGGCAAGTGGGTGTTCATTATTTTACTAGATCAGAATGTAGAGAACCTTCTACCAAGTAAGTATACCAAAGAAGTGGTGGTCAAACACAGTACCAACACTTTTATATTTGATTTCCCAAAACATCAACTTCAAATTTAAATAATCTTTAATATCTGCTATGAAGCTTGATCTGAAAATTATGAAGAATGGTGCTGTACGCACTCTGATATACAGCATGCTTGCCCTGTGGACCTTCTTTACAAATTCTACCCAGCCGTGTGAAATCAGCTTTCTCAGGGGCTACAGGCCAGAATCAGTGTAATAGGGCTGCTAAAATCTAGCTGCAACACCAAGTCTTTACATTGATCCTAAATATTATCTTGAGCTCAAAGCTGAGCAAACAAAAAACACAAGGAAGAAAAGCAGAAGAATTAGGCATAACATGAGTTCTCTAAATGTCATTTAGGGGTATTAAAATCCTGAATTTTTCCTACCAGGTGGAAAGATGGGAGGGAACCACCTTGCTATTTGTGTGTCAACATTATTTGTAAAATCAGCTGCCACTGAAAGATTGGTTCCTTCTCCCGCTGATTCCTTGGAAAAGGCCCTGTTCTGCTTCGGCCTTCACCCACCATGGGCTGGGCACATCTTGGAGCCCCAGGGCTCTCAGGCGTAGGCCCACCCTGCCTGCCCCCCTCATCTGTTCTCCCTGGGGTTGTAGCGCAGCCCGTGCGGCCCCTCGGAGTCGTAGCTGTCGTAGTGCGGAAGCTGGGCCCACTCCGGCGGGAAGGTGGCCCTGCTGTACACGAAGCACTGCACCGTAGTGGGCGCCGGCGGCTCCTCCGCGCCCGGGGCCCCCTCCTCCAGCAGCTGTACCTGCAACGCCGTGCGCTGGTACAGGGCTGGGCAACTCTCGAAGTCGTCCAGGAAGCGCAGCATCCGCTCATCTACCGTGTAGACCTCACCCTCCACGCGGCGCCCCGAGCCAGGCAGGTGCAGCAGCCACGGGATGTTGTGCTCCCCCGCGATCACCAGCGGGTAGGGGTCCAGCGTGCGGCCGCGCGCCCGAAAGGCTGCGGAGCCGTGGGCGCCGTCCCACAGGACCCTGTGGTTGGGCTGACCCCGCTTCAAGGTGCCGTACAGGAAGACGAGGGCCATCCGGGCAGAGCTGCGGGGAGAAGGGAAGCCACAGGTCAGCACCTGGGGCCCCGGCTCCCGCCCTGAGAGCCTGCACTGGGGCCGCTCCCCTCTGCGGGTCACAGCCCGTACCACGTGAATGGGCCTGGCTGTGCTCAGATAAGGCGTTACTTTCCCACGCAGATGAGAATGGCCTACAGTGTTCACACACGATGAGATATTTTGACTTTCGGCCATTTAAACATGTCAAAGCCATTTTCACAAACGGGCACCAGGTCGGCTCTAACCTGTGGACATGGTGTCGTTTGCCAATCCCTAGGCTAGAGAAAGGGGCACACATTGGCGACTTCCTTGATGTGTCTGTAGCAGACAGGACACCTGCGTTCTAGGCAGGAGGACCGCGCCCTTAGCCTCCCCGCGCCACCTGGATGGACTGATACTCCTCAGCCCTGCAGCGGCAACCCTGCCTCGCCCGCACAGGCCACCTCCTCCCAGGAACCCAGTCCTGACCTGCTGACGGCGGAGCCTCCCCAACTCCGAGGGCACCAGCCTCCACCTCTCCCAACCCCTACCCCCATCGTAGCAGCTCAAGGCCAGAAGACGCCCTGTCCCGGTCCTAGCACGGGCCTCCCAGATACACCCTGTCCAGGTGAGCAACTGCCCCTGTTCTTGAGCCCAGCACAGCCCCTACCTCACTGTTCTCAGCCCTTGTGCGGTGGGTGCGGAAGTTGCGGAGGTTCCAGGCGAGGTGGCCGCCCTCTAGAGCTGCTGTTCTGGGAAAAGGCACTCCTTTTATTAGGACAGTCTGTCAAACCTGTCTCA